CCACGGCGCTTGCAAAAACCAACGAAACGAACAAAACTAGTAAATGAAAAATCTAGCATAAACAAAGCTTATACTGGCTACCGGCGTTACATAAACCATAGGTAACCTCACGCAAAGACGCGAACTTGATGAATAGAAAGAAAAACGATAGAATATAATTTCGTAGTTCTTAATGATAACCAAATGCAAATTCTAGTTGCTACGGCTTTGAAGTACTAAAACTTGAAAAATTTTCTGATTTTGGATGTCGTGCGCCAAGTGAAATTGGACGCCGCCTATCGGCAGACCTGCAGTAAAATGGGTCTTGAGATGAAGTAAAAGCTATTCGTTATTTGTATTCAAATGCTCTCCCCCCGAGCCACAGCTCGATGGTAAGTGAGGCCATTTCCCACCCTCCTGAATAGTAAACAACTTTTTTGTTTCACAACCGAGCTCAATTTTTGCCCTCCTTCGTATTCGATTGACTCACAAGACGTTACTATGCCAGTCCATATGTAGCAATATTTAATCCTCTTATATTTACATTTGATTTAAACTTATTTTCTTTTAAATTTAAATAATGCCTGAAAAGAAGAGATGGTCACATGTGGCTGCATAATGATATTTGGAAATTCCCCGTGCCCTTAAATAATTTCAGTAATACAATGTAATTTTGTTGGCTTGACAATTGTTCTTTTTATTAAAGCAACACCAACGTAAACATGAACTTTAACTGCACAGTTATTGTAATAACTTCGCTTACATACTTTTGCAGTACATGAAGGAATCAAAACCATGCAGTAGAATACTACTCAGACAGGTGGTTTAAAGCACTTTTCCCACTTTTTGCAGTGATACTAATTGATGAATAGGAAAGATCCAAACCTTAGGGAAAAAGATCAGCTAACTGTCTAAAAGTCTATCAAAAGGGCCTTAAGAAAAATATCTGTAGTAGGGGGCAGAAACCAGGTGTTGATATTAGGGCAAAAAGAGATATATATAACATGATGGTAATAACATTGGTGAAAAATAAGAACAAATGTAGATGAAGGTAACTCGCGAGTCAATGCCGATCAAGTGAATTCATAATAACAATCAATGCAAAGGCACACAAATTCCTTTTCTACCTCAGAATAAACATTTTCCATATCTTTCCATTTTATCTTACCCTGATAGTCAAGAGATGAAA